TTTCAATGTTTTTAATCAAATTTTTATTTGTTTCTCAAATATTATTTTTAATATTTTCTTTTTGTTTTTCATTTTATAAAATTAATCATCGAATTTTGGTTGAATCCACGGAAAATAACAAAAATGAGGATGGAAGTTTTAAAATAAAATTATTGAAAATGGAATTGACCGAAAGGAATGAAGAAATTAGTGAAAGAAAAATTAAAATTTTATTGGAAGTTAATGCAAAAAATGAAAACGACGTTTATTTTGTTGGATATGGTAGTTTTTGGGACTGCAAGTATAATCACGATGATCCCACAACCGTTGTTAAAAGTACTGATAAAAAAGGGAACAGATTAATACAAATTGAAAATCTCTCAATCATCAATTTCAGCGACGGTATAAGTATTTGTTCGTCATTGCGTGACAAATACATGGTACGTTGCTAAATTACAAATGTACTTCATTCTTTAGCAGATCTCTATATATTTATCACTTCTATTAGACTTCTTTTTTAGTCATTTCATTTACCATTAAAAAACAGAAAATAAAAGAATATCCGAATACCTGATAGATAATAGAAGATATGGTTATTTTTGCAAAAATGTGGTTTGCATAATTAACGGACAATGGTTCACACGGTTTAAAATAGAGTTGATCAAGACGAGACCGATACCGAGATTCTCGGCTTTTTTCCAATATCGATCTCGGTTTTTTCATTCTCGGTCTCGAAACCGATACCGAGATTCTCGGTCCATTTCTCGGCGAGAAACGATACTGACTCAAAGAAACAAAATTCTCAATATTGTCCAAGTTTTCGTCCATAATTTTTTTCGGATATCCGTCCATAACAGAGAAATCTGTGAACTTAAAAAGAACCAAGTCGAAAACCTTTTCGATCAAAGCGATTTCAAACCCACGTTTTCAACGGAAGAGGATTGAGAAAATCTGCTTTTTTGAGACGTGCCTCATCTGTTTTTATAAATGACTAACTCGTTTCATTTTTAGGAATTAATGACTTTGCGACCTATATTTAATGGACAAATCAATTTGGAAGCAAATCAGCTGTCAGATGATAATATTGCAAGAGATAATATTTTTCATGAACAGAAATATATAGACATAAACGGTGTAAGAACTCGAGTATTTATTTTTTTTAAAAAGAATTATAAATTAACAAGATTGACATGTTTTTTGAATCATGAAGGACCTAAAAAAATTTTCAAGAAAGAAAAGTATACCAAGGTGAATTTATTTGAACCATTTTCTTTAAATGCCAAAAAACCTGAAATGATAATGTAATATTCTCACATTGAAATTTGTCTAAAATTTAAAAATCCAGGCAATTATTTTGTAATTGTTAAAAGGTTATTTCGTCAGGGTTGGCTTGAATTTTTTGTTAAAATTAAAAAAGAAAATGAGGAAAAGTGTGTTTTCAAAATGTTCAAGAATATGAATGATTATGAGAAAAAAGTTTTGAAAAGTTTGAGACAGTCCATGGATATCAACGTGTCAAAAACGGAAAGAAATAATATTGAAGATGGTCAAATGGATGTATATAATGGAGGCTCATTCTACAAAAATCAAGAATTTGTTTTCAGAATATATTCAATTCTGAATGAAGGAATATATGAATTTCATTTAGACAAAGAAGGAATAACAAGGGAAGTGGAGATTGTCGATTCGGATAACGAAATTGTAAATTTAAAATAAAGAGATGTCAGCAAACATAATTTAAGAAATCCTATTAAAAAATCTATATTTCACAAAGAAATATTTCGAAATTAAAATTTTTCTTTCAAAATTTATAATAAATTTAAGTCAATTTCTGAATAGGCTTACTTTTATTTCATTTATGATTAAATATTTTAAAAATTTTTTGTTTTTCATTGACTTTTTTCAATTAAATTATTTTTTATTAAATTCATTTTCATCAAATGTTTAACAGGATAATGCCTGTAGATCTATTTTTTAAATAAATTTATGCACATTTTACTTAACATTTACTTAATATATTTTAATATAATTTTTATGTTAAAATTTCAGAAAAAAATTATTATAAAAATATATTTTTCAGATAAATTTTTCTTAATTAAAAAAAATTTTTTTACGAAAATATTTTTTATAATATTTTAAAAATTAAAAATATTTTTATTTTATTTTTATTTATTTCAACAATTAATGTTTATGGACGTTCTATTCCACCTAGCAAAGCTAATCCAACACAAAACGATATACCTTTAGATATTCTCAACGATTTATTTAATTTAGTTGTTGATTTGAAAATAAAAAAAGATTTGGAAAAAATTGATAATTATTTAAATAAAGAAGAACAAAATACGGAAGGAGAGAAATAAACAATAGTTAAAGAATTGTGATTGGAGAGAAGAATGAAAAATGAATTGTCAAAAATTGATATGAAAAATTAAAACAAAATTTTTAGGGGAAAAACTTTTTTTTAAATGTTAATTATAAATCATTTTCTTCTATTTATTCCAATTCAAATTAAGATGAAGAAAATAAACATTTTTAAATTCAAAAAAATTCAAAAGAAAATTTGAGAAAAAATTTTAAGCAAACATTTTAAATATTTTATTTTTATTACCATTTTGAGAAAACTTTAGAATAATTTCCCATTCATATTATTAAAATTGTTGTTCTTCAACATTTATTTACTTTTATCAATCAAATACATTTTCCTTCTGTTCATAAAATTCTAAATCGGTAACCATACGTATCCGTCGGATCTTTAAAAAATACTGCCCATATCACTATTTGCTGTAATTCTTTTCGGCTCTTATATACATAAGAAAAAACGGCGAATTGTGTTGGTCATCGAAAATCTAAAAACCATAGAGGGAAATTGACTAAACATTAAATAAATTTAAATAAATTTGAATAAATTTAAATAAATTTGCACCTTGCAAACGACTTCCGCGTTTTTAAAAACGGAAGCGTAAGTCGATTCTCCATCCCTATTTTATTGCATGCATTTTATAATAAAATGTACAATGCTAACTGAATCAATTTAAAATTTTAAAAATTAACTTCCTCTTCACTTCCTTCCCACTCATTTCCTTACCCTTTATACATATGCTCTCCCTCTTCCTTCTTCACATTAATTTATTTATTTACTTCAATTTTATTCGAGAAAATTAAATATTTTTAATTTATTTTTAATTTTGAATTCTTTTCAAAATAGGACTGGAATTAATTAAAAACTTCTTCAAATGCTAACTGGTTCCAATCTAGAGCTTTAATTATTTTTAATTTAATTTTAAAAATATTTTTTTTAGATTTTTAATACATTATAATGAATTTTAATTCAACTAGAATTAAATTATTTATTTTTTTAATTTTTGCATTTGTTGGTAAAATTATGCCAAAATGTGGTAGAGAACAATGTAAATAATTAAGTAAATATTTTTTAATAATATTTTTTAATTTAGTTTCTCATGAAATTCTATATTTGGCTGATGGGCAATATTATAGTCACTATCTTCTGGCTGTAAGTTTAAATTAAATTAATTTTAATAATTTATTTTTATTTTAATTCTTTAATACATAAATTGGTTAGGTTTAAAAAATCATAACTTTATTAATTTTTAACTAAAAATTTTGAAATTTGGAGGGTAAAAAAAGGTAACACTTTAAGCTTAAGGTAGACAAACTTCTTGTGGCCAATTGCAATTTTGGCAATGTTAAAAATTTTTAAATTTTAATTTTTTAATTAATTTTTTCAGAGAGAAATGGCAAAGATTTTGAATGAAAATTATTGCGTGGTAAGTTAATTAATTAAAATTAAAATTAAATTATAATTAAATTATAGACATTTTTAATTGCAACGTACAAAGGAAAAAATACTCATCATGTTGATCTTGAACAAGAAGTTCAAGATCTTTTAGGAGAAGATATTAAAGCTATACTTCTTCCAATTGATCAAGAATATGAAAATAGTAAATTTTATACTAGTGGAGTTGGTCGACTTCCAAGTAATTGGGATCAAGAAAGTATAACAACTAATTTGGATATTTATTGGAAAATGACTAAATGTAGATCAGTTACATTTTTTCAAAGTAAGAGGAATTTTTAAAATTATTTTTAATTAAATTTACTTATTTAGCTGTGATAAAAAATGTTCCTGTTTATGTGGATAATCGTCATTATGGAATATTTGAATGGCTTAAACGTCAAAAGTATCAATTAGGAATAGCAGAAATAGGTTCAATAACATCTGGATTTGCTTTATTTAATGAATTAGGTATTGAAAAAACAATTGCAACTACAGCAACTCCTGCTATACCTGTTTTTTATCATTTTTTAGGATTAAAAATTCCTATTGATGTACCTGGTTAATTATTTATTTTTTTAATTTATAAATTAAATTTCATTTAAATCTTAAATTAAAATAATTAAAATAATTTAATTTTAAATTTTAAAGAGCATTATTCTGCATCAAAAGGCGATGGATTAAAAAATGCTGAAATTCGTAAACCAGGAAGTGCTCGACAAATTCAAAATTATAATAATTATAATGAATTAATTAGAAAATTTACTGAAATATATGATACCGAATATGAACAAAATTATAATGTTCAATTGAAAAATTCATCAGTAATGCCTCTTAAAAAACCTTTTAAATCACCTAGAGCTTTATTTTCTAATGTTAAATATTTTTTGGTTAATCATTCTGAACTAGCTGCATATCCTAGAAATTTAAATAATAAAATTAAATTTATTGGAGGAATTGCAATTGGTAATCAAATGTTAGAGAATTATCAAGCTAAAGCTTTACATGATAATGATTATTTGACAGATGGTGCTTGGAATAATAATGTATAATATTTATTTTTTAACCAAAAATTTTGAAATTTAAAGCATTAATAGCTAATAATATGAGGGTCATTTGTGCCAAATTTCATTAAATCTGGTTCTATATTTGCAAAGTTATAAGTTTACAAATATAGTAAAGCAGCTGGGCTATAGCTATTTCTCTCCTTTAGCTAGTGCAAAAGGTTATTCGGCGGCTGGGAGCGAACCAGCATCTTCAGTAGACCGGACTGATTTGTTAGCATTACACCACGCCGCCTACTGCTCAGCCTAGGAAATGAATAGCTATATGCTTTACAATATCATGTACTGCACCAAAATGTTGATTAAAAATTCTTTTATTTAATATAATTTTATTTTTTAGTTAGAATGTTTTGGTTTTCTTAGTATTGGAACACTTGCATCTTTTAATGGAATAGATCAAAAAAAGTTAAACACAATGTATCGTGCACTTGGCAAACACCCCGAATGCCATTTTTTGATAAGAATTGATGAAGCACATTTTCCTACTGATCAACAAAAAAGATATTTTAATTTAAACAATGTTGAATTTGTTAATGAAAATATTCCTCAACAAGAAATTTTGGGTTAGATTTTTTATATTTATTAAAAAAATATTTTTGGCACAAATTTTTTTCGACATTTTTATTTTTTTGAATTATTTAATAATTTTATAAATTAATAATTAATTAATTTATTTAATTATTAAGCCCAGAAAAATACAAAAATTGCTATAATACATTGTGGACAGAATAGTTTAACTGAGGTAATTAATTAAATTTAATTTTTATTTTTTAATTTAAAATAATGTAACCAAAGGGTGTTGGTTTAATTAAAATTAAAAAATTTAATTTAATTTAAAATTAAAAAAGGCTTTATATGCTGGTGTTCCAGTAATTTGTATTCCTTTACTTGGTGATCAACGTTATAATGCTTCAGTTGTTGAATATCTTCAAGTTGGTATTTGGGTTCAAGCTCCTCATTTTCATCAACAATTTGAAGATGCTTTGAACAAAATATTAAAAAAACGGTTAATTTAATATAAAAAATTAATTTTAATATTTTACAGAAATAGTTATAAACAAAATGTTAAAAAACTTGCTAAAAGGCTTAATGATCCTAATCGTGATACATCAAAAGAAATATTTCTTCAAGCAGTACGTGATGCGTTAAATGATGATGAAGCTTCTTCTTCTGTTTATAACGAAGATATTCAATTTGAATATAAATTGTATGTTTTTTAAATTAATTAAATTAATTTTTATTTAAATATTAATGGAAGAGACTTGTGAGACGATGTTGAGTAAATTCGAATTTTTTATTAAAAAAAATTATTTTTGCTCTATTTGGATGTTATATTTTGAGCAAAATATCTTTTTAAATCTTTCCTTTCTATTTTTAAATTTTTTTCTTTTTCTATTTTATGATTTAAAAATTTTTTTAAATGAAGTATAAAAATTCTTTCTAGTAATTAATTTAATTAATATAAAATCTTTTCTTTACCTTAGAGATAAATTTTATCCTTCATAAAATCTTTAGAATCTTAGGGTATCCGAATATATCACAAGAATATATTTGTTTATTTCAATTACAAAATATATTATTATTTCACAATTTAAAGAGCAAGAGAGAGAACAATGAGTTTTACTGAATAAAGACAATTGAAGATGATTGTCTCTCTATTGCCCAAACATTTATACTAGAAATTTAAGTGGGTGTTAACAAAAAATATTTATTCCAAAAAATATATTTTTAAATTTATTCGTCATCAAGAAATGACAATTAATTTTTTAGACACAAAATAGCAAACTTATCTTCTCTTAAGACCTCTAGCTTTTTAAATAATGTTCAGATAAATTTGATCCAATCATTAAAAATAATCAACTTATCAAGAGCTTTAGAATGATATATTAGTTTAAAACGGTTAAATAATAAAAAAGATGATTAAACAAATACGCCTAATAATGAGAGAAAAACAATTTACTCTCTGATCTCTAACCTCACTTGATAATTAAAAATACGAGTCAGATAAGTTTAAAAAATCATAACTTTATTAATTTTAAACTAAAAATTCTGAAATTAGGAGTGTTGTTAGCAAACACTATAAGCTTCATTTTTACTAAATGTCATGTGACGAAGTGCAATTTAGGCAAAGTTAAAGATTTTTAAATTAATTAAGTTTAAATTAGAGACCGGCAAAATTGCATTTGCGGGATCCCGCGGGATAAAATTTTTTTCAAAATCTTTGCGGGACGGGATCCCGCGGGATAAATCCCGCAAAATCCCGCATTCCCGCAAAATCCCGCATTCTAAATTTGCGGGATCCCGCGCGGGATTGCGGGATTTTCCAAAAATCGTTAAAATTATCAATATCTATTGTAAAACAGAAAATTTAATCAAAATATTAAGAATTTAACAAATCATAAAACAAAAAATTAATATTTTTTTATAATTGGAATTGCTTTATTCAAAAAAAGCAACATTTCTCCATTCTTAGGCTCTTGGAGCCAAGACTTTACTCTAAATTTGAATAAAGAAAAATTGTAAAAATTCTAAAAAACCGTAAAATAAAAATTTGTTTATCATCAGCAAATTCCGCTTTGAAACGTGGGTCGATGAACATAGAAATTGAGTGTATTCTAAAAGAAGCAGAGAAAGTTCTTCAACTGGTTTTAGAAGTTGTTTCAATGGCTCCAAAAGATTCCATTCCCTAATTGAAAGTGTTAGTTTGTCAAAATCTCTTTTTTCAAAAGCCATCCTGTCAATTGCTGTTCTTTGTTCCAACAATCGCTCTAGCATGGTAAGAGTTGAATTCCAACGCACAGCCATCGCCTGTAAAAGCTGATGCTGTGGTAAATCTTCTTCTAATTGTGCTGCACGTAATTCATTCATTGCCTTAATTGAATGCTTGACATGTGAGACGACACGACGACAACTGGCTTTTATTAAAGTTATACAGAATGTAAATAAATTAAAAAAAACCAAAGAGCTGTGAAATAGCACCGTCTTTACTTCCAAAACACTGCTGAACTGCTCTGTTTAACATGTGCGCTCCGCAACTAATCCTCACTGCATAACCCAAATTATTTACATCATCGAACGCCTTCATCATATTCGATGCAGAATCAGTTACAAAGGCATGAATAGTCTCATTTTTAATATTCCATTCACTCAAAATTTCATTTAACATTTTTGATATGTTTGTCCCAGTATGCGCTTCTGAAAATTCTCTTATTGCTAATGTGTAATTTTGTAACGCCCATCCGTTTGAAATTCCTTGCGCTGTGAGACTAAAGTTAAAAAAACCCTAGCAATAATTAAAAGAATTTAGAAAACCTGATAAATGCATTTGATTTATTAGACCAAATATCAGTTGTGAAACTTAAAAATTTACAGCTTTTCAATTCACTTGTAATTTGTATTTTAACTGCTTCATAAACATCAGGTAAACACTTGCGATAGTGGGATTCATCCTTCAATTTCTCACAATGCTGATTAACGATGGAGTGGAACCAAGGACTATTCACCAAACGGAACGGAAAGTTTTCACATGCAATCAAATTAATTACTTTTTTGTCTAATTGACTGAGATTCCCTAAAAATAAACAATACAAAATATTAAAAATAAATAAGACCACTGCTATGCTGCTGAAAATATTTTTCAATTGAATCTTCTACAGTTGTCTGTTCTTTGTTAACAAGCCTTTCGAATTGTTTTGCATTTTCTGAATCTTTATGTATTTTGCTTCGTACATGTCCTATGAGGCTTTTAACACTCCGATCAGATAGTTTAAACAAATATTTTGTTTCTCCATTTTCTTTACATTTAATGCACTCTGCCTCATTGTTATTGATTCTTTTAAATAAACCAATGTTCCAGATATGAGCTGACATCTGAATAATAGAAACTTTGTTGTTATTTAGAATCATAGCAAGAAAATAAATACTTTAGAATTCTCAGAAATTTTATTGTTTTCGCATTTGATCGATTAAGAATAATAGAAAACATTTTGCCAACATTAAATTATTTTGCCAAAATTATTAAAAGACATTTTGCCAACATTTTCCAAAAATCCCGCAAAATACAAAACATTTTGCGGGATCCCGCGGGATAAAATATTTTTCAAAATCTTTGCGGGACGGGATCCCGCGGGATAATCCCGCAAAAATCCCGCATCCCGCAAAATCCCGCAAATCGCAAAAAAGTGCGGGATTGCGGGACGGGATCCCGCAAAATCCCGCGCGGGATCCCGTCCCGCGCCGGTCTCTAGTTTAAATATTTTTATCACATATGCTTCTATATTTCAATATTATCGTAGAATGCCTTTCGTAGAGTCATCTGACAGCTGATTTGCTTCCAAATTGATTTGTCCAGTAGCAAAGTCATTAATTTCTAAAAATGAAATGAGTTGGTCACTTCGAAAAACAAGATTAAACGCGTCTTAAAAAAGCAGATCAAGTTTTGTATAAAAAGATTAAGATTTTGGCCGTGGACAAATCAGTTTCATAAAAAATCTCAATTTTCAATTTAAAAAATACTCTAATTTTAAACCATAAGGTATTCGCACCATAGAGTGTTTATCACGCACTGATGAACAAATACTTAAACCATCACTGTAATATATTGAGATATTTTCCATTTGTATTAATTTGTTCCGGTTTTTATTAGCATTATCAATGTTAACTATAGTTGTGGGAAACTTGTTAGTATATATGCAGTTCCATTCAGCTTAATTATAAAAAAATGATCGTTCTCGTTTTTTGCATTAACTTCCAATAATATTTTTATTCTATTATTATCACTTTCTTCATTCCTTTCAATCAATTCCATTTTCAATAATTTTATTTTAAAACTTCCATCCTCATTTTTGTTATTTTCTGTGGATTCAGCCAAAATTCGTTGATTAATTTTATAAAATGAAAAACAAAAAGAAAATATTAAAAATAATATTTGAGAAACAAATAAAAATTTTATTAAAAACATTGAAATACTTCTTTGAATTAGTAAAAAAAAATATTTTTTAATAAAAATAATTAAAGCTTTATTGCGCGGACTTTTATATGCGGACTATTTATTGTTTGGCAGTTAAATTAAATACTGAGAAATATTTTTCTTGAGAAATATTTACCTATTAAATTCACATGAAAATACATAAAGGTTAAATTAAAAACAAATATTTCAAAATTATTTAAAGATTACCTAATATTTTGTACTTTTTGTTTATTATTTAATATGTCCTTTTTGTACATTTACTTTTT